TAATTTTGGTTTTATCGCCCATCTCGGCATTATTTATTTATTTCTGTTTTGTTTGAGGCGAAAGCTTTTCAATAAAAACAGTTAAATAATTGTCAAGCAATTACATTATTAAAAATCGATCAGACGGAAAAGAATACTTAACTTGTAAAAGCTTAGATAATATTTCTTTTTTTTAATGCTCAGTTTATTTACTTAAGACCCGCAGTTTTTGTTCAAATAGAGGGGTGCGTTTTATAGATACTTATATATATATATATGTATATATATATATATAAATGGCAAGTTAATGAGCTCAAGTGGTGGAAATGTGGGCGTGGCAGGGGGAGAACAAAGCGAAGGGAGCAAAGACAATAATAAAATCAAATGAAACTAAATTAGTTGTGAAAATAATGTTGGGGACGACTCCGTCGAACTTTCCATCTCCTTCTCATTCTGCCTTCTTTCTCCACCCGCATACACACAACAAAAACTATAAAATTTTACTGGACATGCACATCGAAAAACATTTGATGATTTAAAAAAAAAGTTGTCAATAAATTTGTTTTTTAACAATTTAAACCATTTCATTGTAGATTTAGAAGCCTATAAACAGCTGACAAAAAATTATATTTAAAACACAGGAAATATTTTATACATTATTTGTATAAATATTAATAATACTAATATTATTTAAAAACTCCTTTGAAACTGCTATTATGATGAAAATTAGTGTTCAAGATATTTTGCGATTTTTTCTGTGTACAGCAAAAGAGAAGGCCATAGACCTAGACCTGGTAGCATTTCCCATCAATTAAACTGACAGCAGCATGAGGCCATTACACGCTCATCAAAACACTTAACACACACAAGCACACACACCCCGATTGGGTGGGGGTGGGGGTGGTGTTGTGCGCTGTGGTTGTGGGAGGTGGTGGCCAAGTGGGTAGTGGTGGCTCAATGGCATTGCATTTTTCGCTGTTAAGCAGCGTTGACCTTTCAACTAAACAAACACCCCGATGACCAGCTGCACGCACACAAAATTAAATGAACTAGTTGTTCCCTTTGGGAAATTTTAAATAATTTTTCAGAAGTGGTTAAGACTAAAAGCATCACTTAAATTAAATTATACTGATAAAATATTTATTTAAATGAAAATTGAATTCAAATTTTGTTTTTGTTCTTTTGCTTTAAAGTTTAATGCCGATTTCCATTACTCCAAAAGCAATCCAACTAATTAATCCCCCTTATCCTTTTCCACCTCTCAGATTCCATTTTCACCCTTAAACTTCAGCAGCATTCACTTAATTAAAAATAATCCAATTCTGAAGCGATGATTGGCAGTCGCTTTTGCCATTTTTTCCACTTTTCCCGACAACTTGGAATTGAAAAGGCGAATGTGAATAGGAAAACTTTGACCGTTTTGCCACTTGAACTGCACTTGTTGGGGCAGTCGCGCGTGCCAGATAAGCCTACAGAAACTAACCTCCTTTATCATTTCATGTATATTCTTTAATGGGAATGTGTAAGTTCCTTTGTGTCATAGTACAAAGTCCCAAAAGCGGATTAAAATCGCTAAGAGAAAAGTTTGCCAGCGCATGGGACATTGAAAAGCAAGAAACCGGAAGAAGCCGAAAGAGAAAATATTAATTTAAGAAGCATAACTTTTCACAGCTGCAGTTTGTGAATTACTCCCTTATAAAAATGCAATTCCCTTCCAATTTGAGAACTGTTTTTCGTCCTTAAAGGGTTTTAAACAGAGCTATATAAAATGTTGAAATTTAATATCAAAACCGATTGAGAGAAAAAATAAAATTTAAATTCCCACCTGTTCGGACCTTGCAAAGCTGAACTCCAATGAAAATCGTATTAAAACCAAAACTTTCGTCGAAAATGTTGATTTCAATTAACTTAATGCCCCTCACTAAAACAACAACGACAACTCTAATTTTTTCCAGTTTTGTTTTCTTTTTTCACTGGTTGTTAATGCATTTCCACACGCAAATGAAATCGAAAACCAAAAATCGGGTTAAAGCAAACAAACCAAACCAAAAAGTCAAAAAAAAGAAGATGCAATCTGGGGGACCCTACACATGTTTCCACATTCTGCTGAATGCCGGGGAAAATTGAAAATTGTCAAAATGCGAAGACAACGAAAAATAGCTGCAGCAACAGCGACAAAGAGAAAAAATACGACGACGACGGCGTGAAAAACAAATTAATCAATGTTTAAGGGATCCAAAGGGGGCGGAGGCGGAAAAGTGGGCGGGGTAAAGGATGAATTGGGGGCTGGGCATGCGTTTCAATTCCATTTGTTGCGCTTCAATTTCAAAAAGCAAAAAGAAAACCAACACGAACGCAAGAAAAAATAAAAACAACTTTCGTTTTCCTGCGTTTAGTTGAAATCATTAAAAAATAATCATCTTTCTGCTGGGTTTTCGTTTAATGTATTTTCTGCGTTTTCCACACACTTGTGCACTGACTTTTCCAGCCCAATGTGACCAAGATTCGGTTCGTGTCTGAAAAGCAAATCACTTTCTCCGGTTTCTCGGTTGTAGATCATTGGGTTTGGATTGTCCCCATGTTTTTACATGGGCTTCAATTACTTCTTAGATTCGGTGACACACAAGATGACGCAACTTTCTATATCGCTCTATCTAACTTGACTCCCAGTGTTTTTCGCTCAGTGCACCGCATTGCACGACTTTGTTTTGGTTTCAATTTTCTATTTCTGTTTGTCGCTTAATTTCGTATTTTTCAGGTGCCAAGATGCTTTGCTTTTTGTGATTTCTATACCTGATACTCGTAGAATCAATGGGTATATTGGAGTTGGTAGTGAAATATCTATGAAATTCTTACTATAAGGTAGGCTAAACTGCTTGAAATTTATATAATTAGAAGTTCAACTCTTATACAATCATTTTTCGAATCCCATTTGAAAAGGTTTTCATGTACTTGTTACCATTATTTTTTGTTTGTTTATAACTTTTGTATCATCCAAATTTACCACTGAGTATCTTTGAGTCGTTCTAGGTGCCAGTATAATTTTTTAAATAACTCAATTTGTTGCCAAGCCCTGTCAAACGTCAGCGACGTCTTTTCCTCGACTCTTTGAGTTCCTTTTTACCTCACTGCGCTACGTAAACACACAAGACATATACACACTCCCCGGTTTCTTCCTGTTTACGTATGTTTGTAGCTGCGCATTCGGTTCGACAACAAATGCCAAACATGTGTGGCAAACGTGCGACATATTGAGCATTCCTCGGAATCTGAATCTGTAGCTGAGTCTGAATCTGAATCGGAATCCAAATCGGTTGTCCCGCTGCGCGGGGATGGAAAGATGGATGGGCGGTACAAAAAAAAAAAAAAAAAAAATAACAGGAGAAGGAGGGCGGCATTCAGTGGGTTAAGGAATCGCCGAAACAGCGGGCGTTTAACTGCACGTTTCCTGCCATTTAATTTGATTAAAGCCTGGCGAGCAAAATTTAGCCACGAGGCAAATAAAAATATGAAGTACAAGAATCTGCGGAGGGTAAAAAATACTACCGATCAAAGGTCTCAATCTTGGGCTTTTTGACTTACACAAAACAAAAAACGCAAACCTTAACCTTCAAAGAAGCGCGACAACAAACGAATCCAATTGCAATTCTTAGACTCTGATTTTGGTTAAGGTTTCTTTTGCATAGCCTCAAGTTAAAGAGGCCGAAACGAAACGCTTCACTACAAAGTACAGTGATTAAAAATGATACCGTACTACAATTCCCTAATATATTACCCCAAAACTTTGATTAATTAGTTTTAATTCAGTAATATTCACTTCAATATAAAATAAGCTTTCCTCCTTTTAAACTTAAGTTTTTTTTTAAACTTCTTATTCATTCAAAAATTAGTTCATCTGAACGGTAGAAAGGCTGTGATTAATCACATATTTAATCTAATGAAAAATTGAGTTGCGCAATCAAAACTGGCAAATGACCACTGTACTTTCTTGCATTGGGAGAATATCAGTGGAGTAAAAGGAGTGCGGATCAATTGCAGGTCTTTGGATGCGTTGCATACATTTTTGTCGGCTTAGCCAGAGGCCAAAATTGAAAGCGGCACGAAGTACACTTGATACGTTTTGGTCATCGGGTTGCGGTTCAATTTTTTGCTCATTGCAATTATTTTGTGAGCTTTTGTTGCATATTAATATACCCTTAAAATGGGGGAAAAAACTGGTTGGGCTTGCAGACTGACGTCCGTTTTAGAGCTTAATATTTATGAAAACTTGAGGATAGCTTATTTATCGTGGAAATAAAACAACTAATGAAAGGTGTGGAATACATGAGATCCTAGTTGAACTTGAATTATTTCAATCAAATTTCTGCAATGCAATAAGGGTATTTAAATCTTCGATTTCCGAACTGAGCCCTTTTCTTGCCCCTTTTTTGAGCTTAGCCTTGAGGCTGACTGATTTTTTGCCTACCCTTTTTAATGGGGAAAAGGGTTTTTTATTCAGTGGGGCCAATTGCAGCCCCACATACATACGATGATTTTTGTTTGTTTTCTTATTTTACTTTCTACCTTCTTCACGTTCTTTCTTTCTGGCCAGAATAGTTCCAGGAAAAAATTAAAATGCAACTGCGTGTTGAATTTTTAAATATGCAACTTGGTTTTCGGGCGTTTTTTTTTTTTTTGAGGGCTAAGAAAAATTACAACAATAAATAAAGAGTCTCGGCTTAAAAAAGAAGGAAGATGGGGCAAAAAGGGTTAAGTGCAGGAAGCTCGCGTTTGGCCTCTCTTACGCGCTGGATCGTAAATTAAGAGAAGATAAGGAGGAGGAGACCAGCAAAAGGACTGAAGCAATTATCAATAAGAAAAAGAAGAAACAATGAAGTAAACCAAGTTTAATTGCACACACACACTCGTAACACTGGCTTACACACAAATTAGTCACAGTTCGATTTATAATCTGAGATCGTAATCGTAATCTCCCAATGCACTTTTCTCTCTCTTTCTTTCTATTTGTGATTTGTTTTTACCTTTTTTGAGCCGACGATGATGAGTTGTTCTTGTTTCTGTTCTGTTCTGTTTCTATTCTTTTTCCTGCTTTCTTTTGTTTTCCTTTCTTTTGCTGTATTTTATTTTCTCCTTTTTTTCTATTCTAGAGGCGATCGCTTCTTTTATTCAAGTCACTGCACTTTTGTTTTGCTGTTTTTTTATATTTCTTCGACAGCTGTGTTGCGACAAAAAAACCGCATAAAAACAATAATAATTTGCAGCACGTTTCGGGCTGTTTCTTTGGTTCGCACTTGTTGCTTGCCACAAAAAATAATATGAATTCTTGAGCACTCGCGGCTGCACTTTTCTTTAACGCAAAACAAAAAAACGTTTCGTTTATGTGATTTGAATCAAAAGATTTTCGAATTCGATTCTTAGTGTTCTCAGAGATTTAGCACGAATGCAGTTGCATATAATGGCAACCGCTTTTTCAAAAATATTCAAACGCAAGACGCGCGCGAAAGTAGCGAACGAACCGCTCACGACGAAAGTTGGGAACGCAAAACAAAAACGGAAACAGAAACCAACGGTCATGGCAGAATAAATATAAGGGAGTCTTGTCGGCCACCATACCGTTCGGATTCAGTCCGTTAACGTTCAATTTTGAACTGAAACGTTGTTTGCGGACGGTTTTATTTTTGACCGTTAACCCTTATGTCAGTGGTAAAAAAAAATTCTGTTGCATTTATTTCAGAAGGCGTGAAATTTTTTATCAAAAAAATATTCAGCCAAACAATATGGAAGAAAACTTTGAGGTGAAGCGTTGGCGATAAATCAAAAATAATAGAAAAAATTTGTTATGTATTATCGTATGACAGGCCATTTCAAGCCCCATGTACCGCATAAGGGTTTTGCCAACACACTATATTGCTGTTTTCTCCCACTTATTGGTGAACTTCCTTTCACTCGCACTCATTGTAGTGATTGGTAAGAGACTAACGGATCCGACGAGACTGGCTTACACTTATTCTACATGGTCTCAAACCGTACGCTCTCTCGCATTCGGTTGCCTCTCTCGGGGCAGAGATGCTCACCATCAGTGGCAACAAGTAGCTAGGATTCTGCGAGGGCAGCGTGAAAATAGCTATGTCGAACCAGTTGATTCAACAAGGAACTAAAATAATGTTAAAATAGTCCGAAAATTATTAAAATCATGTTTATTTATAAGAATTAGTGGCTGTATAGATCAAATGAACTGGCAGAGCAAAGTTTTTTTTTTTTTTGGTTGGTGAACAAAAAGTATGAAAGTATTTAGTGGAATATCAGATGTTCATTGTTATATTTTTTAAAAAGGCTAAAAATAAGGAAAGTCAACAGCACTGCGCTGGCACTCTTTTTCGCTCTCTTGCTCATCGTGTACAGTGCGCGCCAGCAAATTGGTAAAGTCCACAATAGGTACGGTTTGTTAAGCCAAAGAACGTTTTGCGCACTTTCAAACTGATACCTCACTTCCAACTGTTGCATTTGGCTTAATAAAAAAAATACATTCCCTGATTTCTGAATGGCTTTCAGATTTTCTCTGATTTTTTTACCCGGTTCCGGTCGACTGGCTGGCACTGTAGGATGCTGGATTTTATGAATGAAATTGTTCTTGTGGATGTTGGCAAAGGGGTGGGTGGTAATAACATAATGGTTAGTTTCGGCGAATCGGCAGAAAACCACCAATTTAATTCGCATTGTGTTATTTTTTTTATGCATATGTACATATTTAATTTTAAGTTGAAATTTACCACTTTACCGGAATCTTGTGTTTTTGCGATTGGTATATTTAAGGGCTTTGAATCAGATTAAAATTGGAAGAGTTATTGGCGCTGGAAGGTTATTTACCGTATTTGGAGTACTTTTTTAAGGCGCAGACGCAACTGCCGAATTTTGTACATATGTAAGCGAGGGGTAGAGATGTGCACCTCCTTCCCTCTTATTTTCATCACCACTATTTTGTATGACGCACCCGCATGTGAAAGAAGTAGAAGATACAGAACCGTCGCGTCTGCGCAAAAAAAAAGTCCACCACCAGACAGAGACAGAGATAGAGAGTAGATCCAAAGAGGGGGAAGAATAGGGGCGAGAAGTGGCAGAGGGAGCGGGAGAGAAGATGGCGTTAGCCGATTGAGAACAATAGCACCGGAAATTGCTGCATCTGTTGTTGTTTTGTCGCCGTCGCCTCTTCTTCTTCTCCTACTCTTTTTCCTCTTCTTCTTCGTTTTGCCACACCCCCGCCCTCTACTTTTTTGGCTTTGCTTTCTTGGCTAAACTGTCGCTGCACTTGAAGAACGCCCTGTTCCTTTCCCCCCCATCGTTCCTGTTCTTATTTTCCAATGAAATTCTCAATTGCGGCCAGTATACAAAAAAAAAAAAACAAATAAACAAACAAAACTACAAAAATATGTATTTACATATAAGGAGTAGAAACCACAAAAAAAGAAATAGCAAAAGGCGTTGACAGACGAGGCAAATGGAAAATCAAGTGCAAAGTGCAACAGTTGTGTACAGTCGCGGAGCGGATTATTACCTCGCACCAGTCAGTTACAACCACCTTCACACTCTCATGTTAAATTGCACTGAGGTAAATAAAGTGTTTCATATTTAAATAATCCTTTCAAAATCCCTGTGACCTACTATCTCTACCAATCAGTTTTACATCTTTTAGACGTGAATACAAAGCCAAGAACATTTTCTTATTTGTTATATATCGGTCTTAATTATTTTTCCTTGTGTGCTTAAATGAGGGAGGACCCCATTTTCACTACCGTTAATGTTCTGCGCATGTTTACCAAAATTTGGCAAGCAATTGATGCTGATTACCGATGCTGAGCGCCTGTTAGTAAAATTTTGGAACGTTTTCCCTTTGATGTGCTGGTTTTATGGCACCCTATGTCCTTGATGTGAAGTTTAACATTTAAAATTATAAATTAAAAAATCACCTAATTTTATTTAGCCTTTTTAATGTAATTGAGATTAAATAGCTATTTTTAATACTAGTAGGAAGAATGATAGATAAATGGACAGTAGATACCAATAACTATTGAATTTAGTTAATTGTAATAGTCGAATAGTTCATTTCGGTTTACCCAAATACAGATGTATGTATGTATGTACGTTCAGTTCCTTTATAGTCGCTCAAACTATTCCCTTTAAGCTGGGCACAAAGTTCTTTGTGTTCTAGTGCAAACAGTTGGGACCACGGGGCGTATGTTTGTTGTACGCGCAGTGATAACATGATTAGAGCTTTCAGCCGGGCAATGAATGCACCTGCATTGTCGGGGCCCCAGAGAACCAGGTAAATATGTATTTAGCAAGTGCTGCTGCTCCTCCGGATTTACCTGATTGACAGCGACAGAAATCGTGGAGATAACTCTCACACACATCTCTGCACGTTCATTCATTCATGTAATTTCGCTTCTAGTTTTTCCTTTTTCCTATAGTTTGATCTTCACTTCGTCCACCTCCCCTCTGCTGGCTGTTAAAAATTAAAGATAATTATGATTACCAACAGACAGAAGCAGCAGCAGCAGCAGTCGCACTTGAAGTTGCCAAGCAGAAATCATTCATGCAGGCAGAACCTCACACAGATACGAACTCTGGTGTCTCTGTACGTGTGCGAGTTTTTTGAGATACAGATACGCATCGGACAGCAGAGGGCCAAAATAAAGGAAAAAACTCACTGAAGGTTCTAAGGCTGGGCATTTCCGACTACAAAATACCCATTGTAGTATTAAGTTGGCAATAAGTTGTACTAGTTTATCGAGTAAGATGCTTAAATTATACTAATTATAAAATATACGTATGAATCCTTAAATCTCCATATATTCGAATGTTGTGAGAAAAATGTAATACACCCCTCGTCAATTTGCTGGGTACAAAAAAGACGGCCAAATGAGAGACAGCTTCGGTTCACAAATGATTATGATAAAAAACACAGCCGCAAGAGCGACAACTCTGGAACAGGTAAAGAACATCCATCGTTGTGTTTTATGTATATGTTTTGTTGTGCCCTTTGTTGTTCCTTTTCTTTTTTTTTTTTTTTTGTTTTTAAGTATTATACGCATATAAATAAATTGAAAACAAGAGAGAATTTGGAGCTGTGGGCAATGAAATACCCTGGAATGTGATAACCTATGGTAGATGGTTTAGGTGTTCTGGTTTAGGATCCACCTCCCATAAATATATTTATACATTAATTACTAAGTTTAGTTAACCCAATAAATATAATTTTATGTCAAATATGGTACCCCGTTTATTCCTTTTACAGGGTGGCAGGCGGATGAAAGCGAAGGCAGAGGAGGAGCAGTAAGGGGAATCGAGGGTAAAGAGGCTTAGACAGGCTCACATGCTGATGAACCGGCGCTGATAGCGAACCCCCTACAAAACAGGGGCGTGGCTGTGGAGAAGCCCTCTTACCAAATGCACAGTGAAAAAAAAGGTGTTATTGGCATTTAAATCCTTTTTTATTAAGTAATACAATAATTACTTTTCATTTATTCAAAATTTGGTGGTCTGACTTGTAAATTTTTTAAACCATTGATATTAATTTAACAGTTTAAATTAAATATATATTATAGGGCTTTCAATTTTATGGAAAGCCCTTTATATAAAGTCCTAAATAAAAAACTACCCGTACAATTTCAACAATCAGGCATTCAAATATTAATAAATTTATATATACAGAAATACATCTAAGTGTACTCAAATACATATACGATAACGCCACAGGCGCAATGGAATTTTCGGCTGGTGGAAGAAATTAAGACAAATCAAACAGGTTTCTCGTCGGTCCTGTTCCCCCTGCCCCCTCGTCGATCCAACTCTTCAAACGGGGCACCGCCACAAGGTAGTATATTTCAGGTAGAAGGCGATGTTACCAACGACGACGAAGGAAACTGATTTCGTAATTAGAAAATTAACAAGTCATTTCTCAATTGCGAAGGGGAGGAAAAACCCGTGTGAAAATGAGTGTAAAGGAAACGAACCACGGATTGAACATTATAGAGCGGAATGCAACCCTTTTCCCGACAAACCGCAGATAAATCAAGGTGAGTAAAAAGGTCGGGTGACAGGACGCCGAGCCCATAGATAACACTTGAAATGCGTCATAATCCCGCATTCAGGCGCAGCAAACAAGGACTTCGGGTCGCGAGAAAGAGAGGGCAATAGCACGTGTTAAGGACCTGCACCTCCTGATTTACCACGATTAAAACCGACAGAGTAAACAGCAAAACAACTGGTAGAACAAAACAGCTGGTGTTGGGATATAAATAAAATGCAAACTAGAAAGAAAACTAGGAAAACCCTAGGAAAATGTTCTTTATAATTGCAGTGAATGTTGCGCGGAAAGGAATTGCAGATGTCATTGGATTAAAAGGCCTTGACTTTGACCAGCTGATGCCTTGGGAAAATAATTACTTATCTGAGGTAAACAGCTTTTCATTCGCAAACTAAAGTATAATAAACCTTGTGATTTCCAATCACGAACTTCTTTAGTTATTTTTATTTAC